GCGGGCCGTTTTCAGGCTGGCCAAGCCCCCCTGGCGACAGAAGCTCCCAGCCTCTCCTCTTTTTCTTTCTTTTTTATTCTGGGATTTATTTACCTTCTATAATTAAAACTTTGTTGCTCTGAGTGGAGCTCAGAGCCAGCCACAGCAGGAGGGAAGCTTGGCTTCCTCCATCATTGGAGCAAACAAGCCTCCTGCTTGCTCCAGCTCTGTGGTTGCCGGCCTCCATCTTGGTTGGGTTAATTTGCATATAGTTGCTCTGATTGACTGGTGGGCATGGCTTGGGGTGTAGCAGAGGTGCAGTCAATTTGCATGTTTCTCTTTTATTAGATTGCATTAGGAAATAGGTCAGAGATATTAAGAAATCTGGAAATTCAAATAGCTCTGAAACACCTGAAAAAAATATTCAGACTCACTCACAATGAGAGAAATGCAAATTAAATTTCTCTGAAATACTATTTTCATCCTTCGGACTCACAGTCCAGGTAGCATAATCTCTTGGCAACACTGTGAGAAACAGGCACTGTCATTCTGGTGGTGGGAGAGTAACTGGAAGAGCCATCTAGAGGATAATCTGGCATTTGTGTCAAAATTATAAATGCCTATACCTTTTGGCCCAGCAATCTCACCCTGGGAATTTACTATAGAGCTATACCATTCACAGGAAAAATGTTGTACATATAGGATAGTCGCTCTACCCTGTTAGCAATAGCAAAAGGACATTTAGTAACCCAAAATGTCCATCAATAGGAAATTGGTTTAATAAATTATGGGATATCCATACATACATTACCATGCATACGTTTTAAAAGGATGCAAGCATGCTTTATGTACTAATATAAAAAGTTCTCCATTGTTAAATTAAAAAGTCAAGGGAGCAAGACGGCAGAATAGGAGGTCCCCCACCCCTCTCCCTGATGGCAACAATAGTTGTCAACCACCCACAAACAGAAGTGCCTTTGTGAGAGCTTTGTAATCCAGGTAGAAACTTACAAAATCCCAAGGAAAGCCAGGACCACGGAGGGCTGTGTGACAAGGCTAGTCCATGTTCAGGTGGTAGTTTTGCTCATTGAGGTCCAGGTTACAAGCCTAGAAGCAGCCTCATCCTCTATGGACTCAGCGACAGCCCCTGCTACAACATCGTTTGACAAGCGACTCGGGAGGAGCCAGCCCTGTCCATGACCCTGGAGGCTGGCCTGCAGACCTTGGTCCTAGTGCAGATCTTGAAGTGACCCTGTAGCCCAGCTCCAGCCCTCTCATCTGCAGTCCAGAAGCAGTCCTGCCCATTAGGAACACACCCAGGGACGTGATGGGGGTCCTCCCAAGGACCAGATGGGAGCCATACCCACCTACACACCCGGTAACAGGCCTACCATTTGAAAACTCCACTGACGACCTTAAAATGGGCCATTATTCCAGCACCAGCTCTACTGACTAAGGTCCCAGAGGCAGTCCCATCTTCCACGGACAAGACAGGACCCATACCCTTCTGAGCTCTTGGTAAAGTCTTGCCCGCCAGCAGCCATGTGATCTGATCCAACCTCACTTGACTGTGATCCTAAAAGCAATCCCATCAGTCAGGAGACCTGTCGGGAGAAGGTCTTTGCCGGCCGAATTCAGTCTGTAAAGGCTTCTTCAAATGCACAGACACCAGCCCAAGGCGACACAAACCACAAAGAATCAGGCAACTATGACACCACTAGAGGAAACTAATACAGATTCAGGAACCAACCTCAAAGAATTGGAGATCTATGAAGTGCCTGGCAAATAATGTAAAATACTCATCTTCGAGAACCTCAGTGCAGTGCAAGAGAACACAGATAGGCAACTAAACAAAATCAGGAAAACAATGCATGAACAGAACGAGAAGTCTAACAAACCATAAGAATAACCAAACAGAAATCTCAGAACTGAAAAATACAATAACAGAACTGAAAAAAATCAATAGAGGGTTTTAATGCCAGAATCAATCATACAGAAGAAAGATTCAGCAAACTCAGAGACGGGTAATTTGGAATTATCCACTTACAGGAACAAGAAGAAAAATGAAAGAAAAAGGATAAGGAAAGCTTATAGTAACTATGGAATACCATCAAAAGAGCTAACATGTGCACTATAAGAGTCTAAAGGGAAAAAAGGAGAAAGGGGCAGAAAGCTTCTTTAAAAATAATGGTTGAAAACTTTCCAAATCTTGGAAGGGATATGCATAAAGATTATCTGGACTTGTACACATTAATATAAGTGAATACTTAGAAAATGCAGAGAGAGGTAGAGAGGTGGGGTTGAGAGGATATAGTATGTGAGTGAGAGTTTTCACTAATCAAAATTGTTTGAATGTATTTGCTATTAAAAAATCAAAAAAGGAATTAATCAAGATTATATAATAACTGACAGAACTGAGATAGGGATCCGGGACTCTCTGGCAACAGTCAGTGCTGTTTATTATGCAAAATAAATGGATGAAATAGATAAATTCTCTCATGGAGCTTCTGCTTTTACAAAGGTACTGTTTTAAGGTAATAAAGAGGACCAAGGAGTGAGGTGGTTCTTGTTTCTGCTTCCTAATCATTTATCGCAGAACTGCAGAAGCTGGGTGACGGTGGTGGCTTTTCAGTTGGCATCTAGACTGAGTGGGTGGTAGACAGGATAGACCAGCAGCACAGAGCCATATCTAACAAAGAGAGTAAAAACTTCCTGGAGTGAGAAAGTACTTTTAGAGGTTGAGAAATACCTGGAAAGCCAACCAAGGTACCATAAATTAAGTGATAGGAGAGACTTGAGAAAAATCCGTAGGATATCCTGTCCTTTCATCCAGGTAGACCTTTCCCCAGAGACATCTAAGGTCTTCTCTGGTAACCAAAGGGACAGGAAGAGCTAAAAAGCTGCTTCTAACCATGATTATGACTTTATCAGACGAATCAGAGGATTCCAGCTTTCCAACTAGATGGAAGATATCAGGACTTTGCAAATCATATTAAGAGTTGGTTTTGTTTTTGTTTGGTTGGTTGTTGTTTTTTAGCTAATCCAAGAGCAGAACTTCTAAACACAAGGGTTTCCCCACCCTACTGGGGTCTCTACTTGAGAAAATGGTTCATTTTTTAATATTTCATTTCACTTTAAGAAAATACAGATCTCTGCACTTGGATAATTTCTCCAACCAAATTGGAAAACATTATAAGAAGGTTGTGTACAAACAGTACCAAGATGAGACCTTCACCAAACGCCTGGAGGAGTCCAGAAATAATGAAGACGGGATCTTGGGCCCTGTTATCAGAGCCCAGGTCAGAGACACGCTCAAAGTAAGTAGCAGAAAGGTAGGCCCGTGTGAAAGAAATTAAGTAACAAAAGACATTATAAGTACTGGCTGTTTTTTTTTTTAAAGGTGTCCATGTAATTTTTAATTCAAATGCAACTTTTTGTTTTTATTTAGTATTTGCACTTATTTATAGCTTACTCCATAATACGAAGAATCTGAGATAGTTTATCAAATCATAAAGGAATACAATAGTCAATGTAATTGGGGTGAATAATATTGGGGACAAAGAAAAGAAAACCAAGGATAAGGTAAGTATAATCAAGTACTTACCATATGATCTTATAAGGTTGTTTGCAAATTTCGTCCTGAGCCTTCTAGCAGCCAAAGTAAAAAGGGAAATCTGTTAGGACCAGAGTCACAGTAGTCACAAAAGAAGCACAGCGACCAGAGAAGAAATTCTCACGTGGATCCTTGAAGAGGGGGTGCTATTGCTGCAGTGGATAGATTCCTTGATAAAACCCCTACAATTGGTACAATAAATAAAAATGTTGTAGAGTCTTATAAAAGTGTTTCTCGTTATAGCTAAAAATATCACAGTAAATACCACTGAGAAAAAAAATCCTTCACTGTGGTCTTGGTCTGTAGTTCTCTGAAGTCTGGCCTCTGATGAAGACACACACAAAGACTGACATATTTATCATGAGGACAGAGTGTTGTTCAAATAGTTTTCCTTTAATGCTATGTCACATCATCAAGCTTTTTAAAATATATATTTTTATTGATTTCAGAGAGGAAGGAGGAGAGGTGGAAACATCAATAATGAGAGAGAGAATCATTGATTGGCTGCCTCCAGCACGCCCCATATTGGGGATCGAGCCCACAACCCAGGCATGTACCCTGACCAGAATTGAACCATGACCTCCTGGCTCAGAGGTCTATGCTTAACCAATGAGCCATGCCATGCCGGCCGGGTTCATCAAGCTTTTTATTTTTTTAAAAAAATACATTTTATTGATTTTTTACAGAGAGGAAGGGAGAGGGATAGAAAGTTAGAAACATCTGTGAGAGAGAAACATCGATCAGCTGCTTCCTGCACGCCCCCTACTGGGGATGTGCCTGCAACCAAGGTACATGCCCTTGACTGGAATGGAACCTGGGACCCTTTAGTCCGCAGGCCTACGCTCTATCCACTGAGCCAAACTGGTCAGGGACATCAAGCTTTTTATAAGCACAGGAAGCAGAGAATTGAAGGTTGCAACCTTTGACAAGATTCTAGAATGCAGATTATCTACAAATGGAGGATGATCCAAATGCTTTGGCAATCAACCAAAGATATAATCAAGGTTCTCTTTGGAAGATTAAGGAGCCTCACCAGGACTCCTGTGTGGGTAATGCTCCTAAAATGACGCCCAGTGCTTACCAAGACCATACTTCACCGCTGCAGGGGCGGAGCTAGGAGCGCGTCTGCAGTCAAGGCCAATTCTGCTCATTTGAAAATAACCAAAGGACCAGAAGCAGCTGCTCTCTGTTTCCCTTCCCCCATCTCTGATCCCTCCGAGGTACTCTTAGGTTAGTGGTCGGCAAACTGCAGCTCGCAAGCCACATGCGGCTCTTTGGCCCCTTGAGTGTGGCTCTTCCACAAAATACCACATGCAGGCACGCATGTACATTGAAATTTCGTGGCCCATGCGCAACCTTGCAGATGTAACCTTTCTCTGTGCTCCTTTCATTCTCTAATCTTATCCTAAAGTACACACTTTGGCCCTTAGGGAGTATAAATACACTTCATTGGAAATTGAGGATCCGGCTCTTAGCCATGACCTCAGGACACGGCTTCAAGGACAGGGGTTATGGGAGACCTGGCCAGTGGGAGGAGGAGGTCATGGTATAGAGAAGAGCAGGAGCAGAAAATGAAAACAGATGGGGTCTGAGCTGAAAGGAGAAGGGAAGGAGATGGGGACCAGCTCGGAGGGAGTGGCGGACTGTAAGGAAAATGTCACTTCTAAGGTCAGACTGCTGTGTGAGGCAAAACTCTCAAATGCTTCTGCCGGGTGACAGAGAGATTGCTGCTCAAATAAACAGAACAAGATTGAATGCACGTACACACCATCCAACAAGTGAGCGTGCAAAGTTAACGTCCTATATTAATGCTCGCAATCAATCTTAAGTCCCGAATAATGAATCTGAGTTAACTTTGTAGATCACATTCAGAAATATGGCCAGCCGCCCCTACAGCATTTACCCTCATGGTGTGACCTTCTCTCCTTTTGAAGACAACGTCAACTCTTCCTCCACCTCAGGTTTGAATCTTTCACTTCTGCTGAATGAAGCTATTGACTTCTGAGAAGCTACCATGTTTTTCGACTGTCCCTCTTGCTCAGTCGTAAACCTTGTACAGTCAGGTAGTGTCTATACATGGGCCGGGACCCTAAAAGCCACAAGGAAACCCTGCTCACCTCAGGAGGTTATTTACCCCACAGCAAGCATGTCAAACTCGCAGCCTGCTGCCTGCGGCCCACAAGGAATATTTTTGCAGCCCAGCCAATATAACAGTATGAAAGAAACATTTTAATAAAAATTTTGTAACTTAATTTTTACAATATCCTGTTATACATAATTATTAATAACAAACTACAACGTTCTCTAATTACTGGTTACTATAATCATGTTGCATTCATTTTCCTTACTCGCCTTACGTGCAGGTGCACCATTTCTCTCCACTAATACTAGCAGCGAATATTTTAGCAGCAGATTGCCAAGTCATTAGTCTGGTACTGACTTGTCTGGTCTGCGCAACAGGAAATATTTCGCTTTCAGAGAACAAGAAAAACAGGTTTATTAGTGTCACACTTATTAATTTGTGCAGTTATTCAGTGTCTGGTAAGTTAATGGGCAAGAAAAATATATTAATTTTTATTAAAATGTTCTATTATTTTATGTTAATGATGACTCATTTATTTCAGCATGTATCTATCAAGATAAACTTACTATAATTTCTATGAAAATTGAAGCTTTTGTTTTTTTTGCAGCCCACATATACTTAAACCTTGTTTATCTGGCCCATGTTAGCTTTTGAGTTTGACATGCTTGCCCTACAGCATCCTACATTAGTGCCATAGAGGCCTTTAGGGGAGCAAGATCTGATGACTACATGCTATCAAGGGTTCCAATAAGTGGATCTTAATATTAAAAAAAAAATCCTTTCCCAATATTAATTGCTTGCAATGAAAGCTCCATTGTATCATTCATTCATTCTCATGAAATAATTTTTGAAAATGAAAATAATTCTGACTATATTTTCTTTCAGGCAGTAACACCATGGTCAGAGCAGTTCAACCGGGCGAAACCTACACTTACAAATGGAATATCCTGGAGTCTGATGAGCCCACGGACAATGACGCCCAGTGCTTAACAAGACCGTACTACAGTGATGTGGACGTCACAAGGGACATTGCCTCTGGGCTCATAGGGCTACTTCTGATTTGTAAGAGCAGATCCCTGGACAGAAGAGGCATACAGGTATTTTGTCCTTGACGTAACCATTCAGAAATTCCAGGAATTTCTTCTGGCTGGAACAGGCTAGGTCTCCCTGCTAAATAACGGAACTTTTCTGGAACAGAACACATTAAACTAAGTAGTCCTCTTGGGTGTGACTGAGGTGACATTGACTCCTTTGGGAACTGTTTGTCTTCCCAGTCTTCACCCAGACTCTCACTGCAGAAGGCAAGGCTACGTGTGAAGACACACTTCGTTCTAGTTTCAAAGTCCATGTCTCTTATTGTCTGTGTGCTGAGCAAGTCTCAGCCTCTCTTGGTTTCTTCCTTATGTGAGATTGGTAATACCCATCCTAAAAATTACAGGTTGTTTGGGGGCTCAGGGAGGTTGCACCCGGCAAGAGTGTATGTAAGGCTCTGTTCCCATCCTTGTTACCTGTAGAGAGCTGCACTAGAAAGAGATAAGAGAGATACGCAGGAGACATAGCTTCTGGTGAGACTGCACCTTGACAACGGTCCGTCTCTAGTGAGACTGAATTAGACAAAGACGTGGATCTTCTGACTTGATCTTTACTGTAGAAGCATCTCATCTTATTAAGCTCCATTAAATTCACAGACAATCGGGCAAAGCTATAATTTTTTTAAAAAGGGTCTCATTCAAGGCATACAAAATAAATATATGCCTCGGAAAATCAGAAACGAACATTAGAAAGACCCTAATTTATTGAACTTGGAAAGAAAACGCATAGGGAGAGGTATGAAGCTTTCCTATTGCGGCCTCCTGCTTTACCCTTTGCAATTGTTCGTAGCACACCCTGTCGGTCGAACAGTCCGGTTGAAAGGTGTTCCGTCACAGAGATAAACAGAATTACAGTTGCCATAACAAATGGAATTTTCTATTAGGATATTTTAGTCTCTGAATTTCCTGATCTGCTGCTTTTGCGTCATACCTTTGGCTCTAACGAGGGCTTTGCACACAAGGGGCTCTCACCAAGGCCTAAATGCATGGCTCCAGTGACCCCGAGGATTGCGCCCTGGGGTGTCTGAAGCTGTGGGTCGCTGGCTGGGATGTTAGAACACAGCGTCCCCCCCCCCCCCCCCCCCCCGCAGAGGGCAGCAGACATCGAGCAGCAGGCTGTGTTTGCTGTGTTTGATGAGAACAAGAGCTGGTACATTGAGGACAACATCAACAAGTTCTGTGAGAATCCTGAGGAGGTGAAGCGTGACGACCCTAAGTTTTATGAGTCAAACATCATGAGCAGTAAGTCGGAGCACGCTCCCCTATCTGTCCATCACCTCTCACCCGTGTGGCTGAAGCGTGCTGTGCCTAGGGGCAGACGTGGATGAGAAGCGACTCACATCTCAGCTTCACCTTCATCCAGGGATTTGGTGATGAAATAATATAAAGGGTGACCTTTTTACAGTGAGAGGTCAAAGGCTTGTTATCCTTATACGTCTTCTCTTGCTCCGTGTGTGTGTGTGTACCTGTGCGTATACTCTGGGCAGAGAAGAACAGGTGAGGGATGGGGGTGGTAAAGGAAGGGGCTACAGGCCTTGGTCTGTGGTATCTGGGGTGCAAAATAGACATTCTGGGTGCAAGGTGATACTCAATGGCCAGGGCAGAATCCAAATAAGTAATTCAAAACTAGATTTTTCAAATCACACTAAAAAGGAGTTTTGCAAAGTCATTCTGTGGGAGGGGTTTGAAGTGTGTACTGAGACGCTCAGAAGAGTCGGTGCTCCCTGAGCCATGTGCTGCAGTTTTAAGTTCAGAACCACTGCTGTGGGAAGTCTGGGTTTGACCTTGTAGTCACATGTTAGACCTGGTAAAGCTGATCTCAGGTAATCACTGCTCTGATGCAACCAAATTAGCGTTGGGGCATGTGTTTTAGGTGGTAGGCACGTGCCCTCGTGCTGGGATAGGCCTGGCATTCTAACCGATCCGACTCTTTCAGCCATCAATGGCTACGTGCCCGACAGCATCTCCACACTCGGGTTCTGCTTTGACGACACCATCCAGTGGCACTTCTGCAGCGTGGGGACCCAGGATGACTTTCTGACCATCCACTTCAGTGGGCACTCCTTCATCTACGGGAAGCGGCATGAGGACACCTTGAGGCTCTTCCCCATGCACGGGGAATCGGTGACCGTCACGATGGATAATGAGGGTGAGAGCCTGGCGCGGGGCAGGGACTCCTGGTCCCTGGGTCTGCCGCAGCTCTCCAGGCTCAGGTCCTGGGCTCAGCTCTCGGATCCCTTGCAGGCTTCCCTTTTGATACTTGTCATGATTTCCGTTTGGGGAGTTAGTTAAGTTTGGCCTCGGTGGGTTCAGCCCTTTAATGTGGGTTCCGTTCATCCTTTTCTGTAAGTGAGAAGTAAAGACACTCATCTGCAGAAGATATGGCATGACTTTGAGGAGGAACCATGACCATTCAGTCTCAAAAAGACATTTCTTTTATCAAAATGCCCTCCCCAGTTTTGTAAGACAGCCACCTGTCTAGGGTTAGTGATCACCAGGTATAGTGCCTGTGAGGCTGAACTCAGACACGCCACAGCCCTGGAAAGCACATGGGCTTTGGAGTTCATCAGCTCTGGGTTCAAATTCTGCCTGGCCACACAACATTGACCTGTATAACCTTGGGCAACTGACCTGACCTCACTGAGGCTCAGTTTATTCATTTGAAAACACACACACACCACCACCACCACCACCACCAAACAACAACAACAACAGCTGTTAACAGAGCTGCTTTATCATTAATTATAATATGTGCCAAGTGTCCAGCACTCAGTAGACACTCAGCAAGTGGTAACCATTGGACACTTCCCAGGAAATCTTCAGTGTGCAGCAAGTCACACCATTTCAGAGAGATTCAAACTTGCCCTGGACCCACATGAATTCTTGGTCAATTGGAAATACCTAAATGTCTCTCATTTCTGGGAGTAGGTATCACCATCCTCCCCCCACTACAATCCTCAAACAAGATGTGCAGCTAACAAGACAGAGATGATTAAAATTCGTTTTATTCTCAATCCATCCCTTTTAAAATATATTCTGAAATAGTGACCCTCAAACTATCTGAGCTAAGATGATTTTTTCCTCCCTGCGCTCCGCTGACCAATGCCTTGGGTCTATATTCTGTTAAACGAGGTAAATGCATTGATCCCATGCTTGGATGTCACAGCAATGTCAAATTGCTCAGAAGTGTCCTAAGTACCTGGCTCTCCATTTTCCTTCTGGTGGCACTGTGGGCCCATAACCAGCAGTTCACAGGGAAGCAGAGATCCACAGGCCACACTTGCGTATCCCTGACCAAAGTTTGTTGGGAATTATCTGCTACAACAAATGCTAGGGATTTTCTGTCTTTTTCTGGACTCAAAGCTCTCTATGCTGTCTGTCTCTCTTCTCTAGGAACTTGGATATTAACCACCATGAATTCTAACCCAAGAAGCAAAAACCTACGGCTGAAATTCAGGGATGTTAAGTGTAAACCGAATGGTGAAAATGATTATGAAAATGATTATGTAATATACAAACCTCCACCATCTACATCCATGACTACACGGAAAATTCATGGGTCTTCAGAAAACCAGGGTGAAGGAGGTGAGACTGAAGATGATTACGATAGTCAGTTGGCTTCGTACTTTGGAATTAGGTCATTCAGAAATTCATCACTGAATCAGGAGGAAGATGAGTTCAATCTTACTGCCCTAGCCCTGGAGAATAGCTCTGACTTCATCCCTCTAAGTACTGATACAGCCGTTGATTCAAATTCTTCTTCCCCAAGTGACAGCGGGCTCATTGACAATAAATTTGCCGAACCTAACAAAACCCTTCCTCACCCTGAAACCACCACAGCTGGTTCTCAGGTGGGGCACAGCTTAGAAAAGAGCTCAGTTCTCGGCCCTTTCACAGCAGAGCATCCCAGCCCTTATTCTGAAGTCCCTATAGAGGATCCTCTACCGCCAAAGGTCACAGGGACAAGCCTCCTACCACTTGGTGCAGAAGGATTCAGAAGCCAAGGGCATGCTCAACATAAGGGATTAGAGGCAAGGCACAGGTTCTTCTGGATGAAATTTCTAGGACATAAAACAGGAAGACATTTAAGCCAAAGCAACTATTCTTCCATCATGGGGCCCTGGAAGGACCTTCCCAGTGATCTCTTAAAACACAAGACTCTCTCTAAGAATTTGAATGGGAAATGGCATTTGGTTTCTGAAAAAGGTAGCTATGAAATAATCCCCGAGGCTGATGAAGACATGGCGGTTAATAGGCTGCAGAACAGCCCCCAGAATGCCTCAAGGACATGGGGAGAACGCATCCCTCTTACCAACAAGCATGGGGAGCAAGGTGGCCACCCAAAGTTTCCTGGAATTAGACATAAATTTCTACAAACAAGACCTGGAGGAAGCAGTAGAGTGAAGAACAGCACTTTTCTCATTCGAACACGAAAAAGGAAGCCTATACACCACGCTCCTCTCTCTCCAAGGAGCTTTCCCAGAGGAGAGGGCAACCTCACCCTCCCAGACGCCCTTCACAAGGCCAAGGAGACGCCTCCTCCCACCGACCTCACCCAGACATTGCCCCATGGGACTCTCAGCCTGGCAGCCTCACTTCCCGACCATAATCTCAGTCTCCCAGACAGCACTGGTCAGACAAGCTTCTCGCCAGACGTGTATCAGACAGTGCCCCCCGAACAGCTCTACCAAACGTTCCCGAGTCAAGACTCTGATCAAACACAGTTCCCTCCAGGCCCCAGTCAAGAAGCTTCTCCAGAGCCTGGCCAGATGCCTGACTATGTTGGAGGAACCCAGTCCTTCCCTACCAACACTGGACAAGTGTCCCCTTCCTTAGAACGTGAAGTCTGGCAGACAGCCATCCCTCCAGAACTTAGTCAGATGACCCTTTCCCCTGACCTCAGTCAGATGACCCTTCCCCCTGCCTTCAGTCAGACAACCCTTTCCCCTGACCTCGGCCAGATGACCCTTTCCCCTGACCTCGGCCAGACGACCCTTTCCCCTGACCTCAGTCAGATGACCCTTCCCCCTGACTTCAGTCAGACAACCCTTTCCCCTGACCTCGGCCAGATGACCCTTTCCCCTGACTTCAGTCAGATGACCCTTCCCCCTGACCTCGGTCAGACGACCCTTTCCCCTGACCTCGGCCAGACGACCCTTTCCCCTGACCTCAGTCAGATGACCCTTCCCCCTGACCTCAGTCAGACGATCCTTTCCCCTGACCTCGGCCAGACAACCCTTTCCCCTGACCTCGGCCAGGAGACCCTTTCCCCTGACCTCGGCCAGATGACCCTTCCCCCTGACCTCGGCCAGACGACCCTTCCCCCTGACCTCGGCCAGGTGACCCTTTCCCCTGACCTCGGCCAGACGACCCTTTCCCCTGACCTCAGCCAGGAGACCCTCTCTCCAGACTTCAGACATGCAACTCTCTCTCCAGACATCACTCAGACAGGCCTTCCTCCTGATCTCAGGCAGACATCATCTCCTCCAGACCTTGGTCAAACAGCCTACACGTTCGAATCCAATCCGTCCTCGCCTCTTCCAGAATTTGATCCTACTTTTCCTTATTCAGACTTTGGTCAGATGCCATCTCCGCAGCCATCTCCTTCACTGAATAACACTTTGATAGCAAGTGAATTTAATCCACCCATTGTGTTTGGCTTCAGTGGAGAAGATGGAGAGTACATTGAGATTACACCGAGGAAGAAACAACAGAGCAGCGAAGAGGCTCCTGAAACACAGTATACGGCCTACGATGACCCTTACCAAACCGATATTAGGGTAGACACCAACTCCCCCAGAAATCCGGACAGCATTGCAGCATCATACCTCCGCAGCAGCTATGGGAACAAAAAATATTACTACATTGCTGCGGAAGAAATATCCTGGGATTACGCAAAATATGCACAAAGGTTTGGCCAATGTTTTCATCTCTTCTCATTTTCCCACTACTGCCAGAAAAGTAATTTCAACAGTCCAAGGAGATAATTCTGGGCAAACTAGCTAAGCATAATTTTGTTCCCCTGCTGCAACTTGGTGCCAGGTACTCTGTGAGGCAATGGGAATAAAACCGTGAGCTAACTAGGCACAATCCCTACCTCATGGGGCTTTTCCTCTAGTGCAGTGGCCGGCAAACTCATTAGTCAACAGAGCCAAATATCAACAGTATGGTGATTGAAATTTCTTTTGAGAGCCAAATTTTTTAAACTTAAACTATATAGGTAGGTACATTCAACTTAAAATTCATGGTTTTCATCTTCCGTTTTTCTTAGCTTCTTCTTTGTAGCCATCTCAAAAAGGGAACCTAAAAAGATGTTTCATCTACACTAATAAAAGACAAAGATGCTAATTGACCATCCCTTTGCTACACTCTAATCCACGCCCACCAGCCAATCAGAGTGGCTATATGCAAATTAACCCAACCAAGATGGTGGCCGGAAGCTATGGAGCTGGAGCAAGAGGAGGCGGTTGCCTGGTGGCTCCAGCCAGAGCAGCGAGGGCTGTGAAGGCGGCTCTGGCCGGAGCGGCACCGGTTTTCCTCCAGCACCCAGGACCCAGGCCTATTGCACGAATCTTTTTATGCAACAGGCCTCTAGTATGTATATAAATATCCAGAATGTTAAGTAGAAAAATAAGATAGAGTGATGCATCTGATTTGTTACCACTTATGTAAATTTCAATAATAAGTGTATGCACAAAACAATATCACTGGCAACTGGACATCCCCTAAGGGCTTCCGGGCTGCCAAAGGGATGTCTGACTGCCAGCTTAGGCCCAATCCCCCAGGGAGCGGGCCTAAGCCAGCAGGTGGACATCCCCTGAGGCATTCCAGACTGTGAGAGGGCACAGGCCAGGCTGAGGGACCCTCCCAAGTGCACAAATTTTTGTGCACCAGGCCTCTAGTTTTATAATAATAAAGCCACCAACACAAAAGAATTACAATTCTTAAATTGATAACAAACATACCTGTAGGATTTGTAGCTGGTTGGAAAAATACAGGTAACTTTATGCTTCAAGTAGGTACTTTTGTCACCTGCGCACGATTTGCGGACATGGCTAGCACTAACCACTGCACAATGAGACTGCTGACTGACTGGCTCACTCAACTCATGCATGAATCACATGCACCTACCCCCGCACTGTGTATTCCTTGGCTCATCTGCGCCGCGTTTCCCGTCGCCTAACCAACCAACACCCCCCACTTCTCCTAACACCACTTCTTCAAAATAGACTCGCCCAGGCCAAAAACCCACTTTTGCGCATGGGCCACGAAATTTCAATCGCACTGTATGTGCGCACCCGCATGTGGTATTTTGTGGAAGAGCCACACTCAAGGGGCCAAAGAGCCCCATGTGGCTCACGAGCCACAGTTTGCCGACCACTGCTCTGGTGGCAGGTCAGATACTAACAGACAATCACACAAATAAGTGATACATACTTTACTGTATATACTACAGAAATGCTACAATGCTATAGGACTTTACTATATGCACTATGGTACTACTATAGAAATGGAGGAATGCTATACAGAGATTTGACCTAGCCTAAAGGCTCATGGGAGGACTTACCTAAGAAATGGCATCTGAACTGGCAGCTGGGTAGCTAACTGGTTGTGTCTTTAGTCATTTCTATTTTCATTCATTTGCTCATCAAATATGTGCTCAATATCTTCTCTATGCTGGAGGCTATATTCAGAAACAGAGACCATTTCCTGAATTCTTTGAAGGGTCTTTCATTTGTTCTTGTAAACAAATACTGTGATGATCATTCCAGTGACGTGGATAGCGAAGACACTGATGAGCTTCCCGAGGACACCATTTACAAGAAAGTTGTTTTCCGGAAGTACCTGGATGGGACTTTCACCCAGCGGGACCCCCGGGGAGAGTCTGAGGAGCACCTTGGCGTTCTTGGTCCTGTTATCAGAGCTGAGGTGGATGACGTGATCCAAGTGAGTCACTCCCACCAGCGCCATCGGGTGGGAAAGGCGATGGTGGCAGGAGAGAGCGAGGGGTGATTTAGTTATTTTCTTTTTTAAAAATATATTTTTATTGATTTCAGAGAGGAAGAGAGTGGGAGAGAGAATCATGAATCGGCTGCCTTCAGCACGCACTCTAGTGGGGGACGGAGCACACAACCCAGGCATGTGCCCTACTGGGAACCGAACCATGGCATCCTGGTTCATAGGTCAATGCTCAACCACTGAGCCACACTCGCTGGGTGGATTACTTCTTTTCCAAAGTTAATAAATAATGACATTTCTTCTCCAAGACAGTTGCCAAGTATTTGGCAATCCTCGAGAAAAAAATAATCTTATGATTCTATTTCCCCCTCTGCTAAGCTCCTGCTTATTCTATAAGGACTATTCTGTTTCCCCTAGGAAACTTTTTTTAGTTCCCTCCACCCTTTCTAAACATTCAGCCAAATGGCTCCTCCCAGGCACCTCTCTCTAACCCGTTCACGTGTGATGTACCTTTGTCCCCAGAGGGTAACTGGAATTCACATGTGCAGTCTCTTCAGCAGTGGGCAGAAAGCTTACTGTGGCAAAAGCCAAGCCTCGTGACCTTCAGAACCAGAGCTCCTATCGGTAGCATTGCATCTGCTGATAAGGTCAATAACTTTGTTTTGGGCGAGGAGCAAGCATGGCTTGGCATTTCTGGGGGAAGCTGCTTGGGCCCTATCTCGCAGGATGCTAGTAAAGTTAGAGGAAATAATGTACATAAGTTCCGTGGCAACTGGCATTTTGTTAAGCTTAAGTGTGTTGTGGATCCTTGTTTTTTTCTAGGTTCGTTTTAAAAACTTAGCATCCAGACCGTATTCTCTTCATGCCCATGGGCTTTCCTATGAAAAGTCGTCGGAGGGAAAGACTTATGAAGATGAGTCTCCCACGTGGTTTCAGGAAGACAATGCTGTTCAGCCAAACGGCAGCTACACCTACGTGTGGCATGCCACCAGGAGAGCGGGGCCGGAGAACCCCGGCTCTGCCTGTCGGGCGTGGGCCTACTACTCAGCAGTGAACACGGTAGGCACAGCCATCAATGTGCTGTCATTCCCTTAACTTATAACCCAAGGCTGCTAAATGGAAGGTGAAGATTACTTCTTGTTTTCTTTTGGATGTTTTGTTTTTATTTTTTTAATTGATTTCAGAGAGGGAGAGAGAGATAGAAACATCAATGATGGGAGAGAATCACTGATTGGCTGCCTCCTGCAGGCCCCCTAATGGGGATCGAGCCCACAACCAAGGCATGCGCCCTTGACTGGAATCAAACCTGAGACCCTCTGTCTGCAGGCCGACTCTCTATCCACTGAGCCAAACCAGCTAGGGCTAAAGATTATTTCCTGCTAAATGCTTGTCTTGCTATTTGTGAAGAAGGTGTAAGGATTGTGGCCAACACCCCACAGCTACCATAGCAGGGACGTCCCTGCAGACCCACAGAGATGACAGTGAGAGAGAAAGCTGTGCTCAGTGAAGAGTGAGGTTGCTGAGAGGGCTGGCCCAGTCAGACAGACCACCTTATAGAGGAAGGCATTTATTTGCAGTTTCCTGGAGTGAATATGAGCTTTCTCCTCCTCTTTCTCTGTGGAAGAACTACAACATCAAGACCCCTTCCTTCTTGGGCATGGTAGGGAGAGTACTGGCCTCGATTTCAGTTCCTCCCCTGTCACCCACTGTGTGGCCCTGGGCAAATTTCTCATCCTCTCTTAGCCTCGGTTTCCAAAGTTAAACATGAGATAACAACATACATCGCACATAGTTGGTCATATTTGTTTAATAAGTGAATTCTTTTTACCATATAGAATTGTTGTCAGAATTATATAAGTGGCTATAGGCAAAATATTTAATATAGTAGTAAGTGCTCAATAAATAGTATTTGTTATAGCATCAATATTTTATTATCATTATGATGACGACCATGTCACGATAAACAACTAAGCAAAGGAAGGGGATAGGAATGCCATAGATGCAGCTGTATGAAGCTACTCATTTGTACTCCTCACAGTCATGCCTCTAAGAAGTTTCCCTCTTCCATGCGATCAACGACCAATCGCGGGAAGAGCCGAGAGAGTGCTGGCAGGGTGTGTGCTCCATTCCTCCCGCTGTCTTCCAGGAACGGGACATCCACTCGGGCCTGATAGGCCCCCTTGTGATCTGCCGGAAAGGAACGCTGAACAGGGAGAGCGGAATGCCCGTGGACATGAGGGAGTTCATCTTGCTTTTCATGGTCTTTGATGAAAAGAAGAGCTGGTACTATGACAAGAAACACCAAAGTTCCTGGAGACGTGGATCCTCAGAAGCAGAGCCCTCCCACACGTTCCATGGTATTTTCCTCTGATTCCATCTGATATGGGAGTCGGGCTGACAGGGACACCTGCCCTTAGGTCTCCAAAGATTAGGCAAGAGATGCTTTCTCAGAAAGAGCAACCACGAAGCCAGATCCCTCCACGTCTCGGGGGGCCCGGGGGGCCCAGCAGGTGACACTCCAGGCAAAGAAACACGAGAGGTTCTGAAAGACAGGCACGGCGCTGCCACGAAACAAACCCAAACCCACAGCAATGCGCCAGGTCGCTTCAGTTAAACATGCATTGACGAGGACTTAGCATTATTCTGCAATTTAAGTGCGTAATAGACTGTTTCCTGACCTTTAAAGGAAAATGTCTGTAGGAGCAGCGACCACCTGAGCTTTCAGAAATAACAGCTTTAGTATTCAGCAGCCCCCGGTGGCACCAAGCACAGGTGAATAAAACAGGCAGCCAAACGCTCTCGGCTCCTCTCCCTCCAACAGCTCACTGGCTTGGCTCCTGAAATTCCACAGCGGTGCCTTTAATTTTAGGAGAATAAACAACAAGAACAACAACAAAAGCTTCCCTCACTTTAGTCCCAGTTAAATGCGGGGTAGCACTAAGGTTTATCATTGAAATACAGTAGTATTTTTAAGGTGATCTGATGTACCAGGTGCTACACACACACACACACACACACACACACACACACACACACCACTGAGGGGAGAGTGGATGCATCTCAGAACCCTGGGCATCCAAGCTGGGAGAGGGCAGAGCAGCTGGCGTTTGAATGAGAGAACTAGCGTGAGTCGCCGCGGCTGTGGGTGCTGTAGAGATGAAGTCCGACCTCCTTACTTGGCCTGGTTCTATCTCTGACTTTAGGGGGCCTGAGAGTGGCACTGCACACCCCCTGACTTAAACACTAGAGTTCCCTTATCTGGCCACACCAGCCTTTTCTATTAGCAGCAAAGGAAACTTCAAACTGTAAATGGAAAGGCTGTGTGGGTGAAGTACAGACAGGAGCCGTAGAAAGTCCGGGGAAGAGACGGAGAAGGTTCTGGGAGAGGAGCTCACCCACCCCCGCTGCAGGCTGATGGAGCTGGTGTAGCGGGAGACCCGCCGAGGCCCTCGCAGCCTCTCTCCTGTGCACACAGATTCTCATGGGTTGCGGTCCTCTGTCCTTTCAGCCATCAACGGGATGATTTACAAGCTGCCTGGCCTGAGGATGTACGAGCAGGAGTGGGTGAGGTTGCACCTGCTGGACCTGGGCGGCTCCCGGGACATCCACGTGGTTCACTTCCACGGCCAGACCCTGCTGGAGAACGGCACTCAGCAGCACCAGCTCGGCGTCTGGCCCCTGCTGCCTGGTAAAGATCTGGGCCAGGAAAAGAGGTCCTGGCTAAACCACGGCCAGAGGAGGCCACCCAGCGTCCCCAAGTCCTCTCATCTCCCTGGGCATTTACTGCTGAGGGTCGAGATGGGCTCTGCGTGGATCCCGGCAAAGCCACACCCCAGAGCCTCACTCAGGGTGTAAAAGGCCGGTGAGGGCTCGCACTGCTTGCGGCACCGGCTAACAGTGTGGCCGGACTCCATTCGGCAGAGAAACCACGTCCGATGCAGGCTTTTCCCAGCCGCTGCATGCCACGTGGGGGGGCTTACAGGCGGAATGACTCACCCCGCCCGCCCCCGGGGCTCAGGCAGCCCCTGGAGGGAGAGGGATGTTTGCCAGGGCTGCGGGGAGGGGGGGGGGGTCTTGAATTCTTGAATTCTACTTCTCATTCTATCACCCTGACATCTTTGGGTAAGTAACTATAGGATTCTTCATCTCAAACCAACTCGTGAGGCTCTTTGGAGAAAAAAAAATTTTTTTATTGATTATGAAAGCTAAAGAATAACAGGGGTATTTATAGCTTTTTGTGTGCAAAATAATGTTTAAACAAACTAGTCACCTAAAAGGATTCTTATGTGCCAATGCATTGTTTGTAGGTATGTGTGTGTGTGTATGTGTGTGTGTGTATGTGTGTGTAGGTATGTGTGTGTAGGTGTGTGTGTGTGTGTGTAGGTATATGTGTATATGTGTGTAGGTATGTGTGTGTATGTGTGTGTAGGTATGCATGTGTGAGAGGGCTGATGCCACTGATTCTCTGCTGCAGTGGACACAGGAAACCCAGGAACCAGCTGAACGCTGCCTGGGAAGCTCAGGGAGGCGTCCTGGGCAGGACTCTGGGTTGGGAGCTGCCCTGTGAGTCAGCCTCAGGAGGAAGCACAGAAGTCCCCATGGGCCCGTTTTGGCTCAGGGTCTGGAAAAGGAGAGTTCTTGCTTGTTTCAAACGTGCCAGTGACTCACTAATAAAGCCCATTCCATTGAGATCAGGGACAGAGGCAATTGAGTGAGACACACTCCTTACTTGTCACCAGGGAGACCAGGCCAGCCGGCCACCCAGGAGCCCAGGAGAAGCCCTGAGAGGCTGGGGTGGGCTGGCCGTCTAAACCTCAACCCTAAGGATCTCGTCCCTGAGGGAAAGGCTGGACATCTTTTTAAGGTTCAAGGGGGGTGACCATCAGCTTTTCATTTTTACTCACAATCTTGTTCGGGGGGTGACCATCAGCTTTTCATTTTTACTCACCGCCTGGGAAATGCTCACAGCAGTAGCTGGCAGAGCTGAAGTACTAACTGGCAGTAGTAATCGCCAACGCGAGCATGGATAAGCAGAGGTTTCAGAAACTCATTCTTTCCGGGTGTCCTGAAACAAGTTATGCATGCTCTACTCACGCATGTAAACTTTATCAAACATTTAAAATATGGAGATGTTTGGCTTTAATTTTCTTGTATGAAAAAAGAAAAGCTAGTGAGATGAAGAGAGGGGAAGGAAAGATGGACAAGTGTTTGGGGCCCAGGGATGGGTCACTCCGGGTTGTTCTGGTCCTTAAAACCGTGAAGCTGTGTTATGTGTATGTTAACTCATAACATTCTGTTCAGATAAATGAAAGCTTTATTTTTTAAGGTTCTGGGTGATTTATTTGTCCATGTGTGTGTGTGTGTGTGTGTGTGTATGTGTGTGTTTCTCCTGTTTGTTACACTTCTAGTCCTGCATAGAAATGAATAGATCACACTGAAGTTCTCTCCTAAAGCTCCCTAGGATGCAGTGATATTAGGATCCTTTGATCGCTGCCAAATAGTAACCTGTTAATCTTTGAGTGTGCAATGTTGTCCTTCACTCTCTATTTTAGGTTCATTTAAAACTCTTGAAATGAAGGCATCAAAACCTGGCTGGTGGCTCCTAAACACGGAGGTCGGAGAAAACCAGATAGCAGGGATGCAAACGCCTTTTCTCATCATAGACAGAGGTATCAGCCAAGAGCCGCGGGACCTTTTAAGCAGGAGAGTCCTGTTGCTAGAATATTGCTGACCTTTAGACAGGAAACATTCAATTCGGAACTCTGATATGACAAAGGCACATTCTGTGGCACTAGTGCTTTCTCGTTCTGGCCACGGTCTGATTATGCTGCAAAACATCAGTCATCCAGGAAACTTAAAACAAATGGTTCGGCCCAAAGGCATTCCTCCCAGTTGGGGAACCAGCATACAGCATCCTCCTTCATGATGTGTGACCCCCTGGAAAGTGCATGTAAGAAATCCTCCAGGCTCCTAGCACAGAGGAGGACTCGGGACAAATTTCCATCTGTCTGTCCGGCTGGCCAGCCAGCCAGCATTGATCAAGCGCCCGTTGAGTACCAAGCATGGTGTCAACATCCAGATAGTTCAGTGGTTGCATCCCCTTCGCTGGTATTCCTTTCCAGGGATGCAATCAGGATGTCAATAACCCTGAGGGCTAGTACTTAATGCTATAAAGTGGTTTATTTTAAGATATAAGCAGACGGAAATTGGTTTAAAAACAAATTGCATTTCAGGATTTCAGTTATTTTCCAATAGGGTGTCACTATGTCTATTAAAGTACCAGTCTTGTTAGTGCACTTGCCATTTTAGGATCAGATGCATTTAAGTCAGTGCTATGCAAGGCAGGTAACAATATCTAATTACTGACCCACCATAAGTATGATCTCTGGCCATGGAGTTATGCGTTGTTAAATGTACTTTCTAACCAAACATTATTCCTTGTCCTGGTTTTTTGCAGAATGTAAGATGCCACTGGGACTAAGCACAGGCCTCATAACTGATACCCAGATCAAGGCGTCAGAGTTTGTGGGTAAGCAGCAGCAGCGTAGCCTGTGAGAGGCACCTCCCCCACTGTGCAGGATACAGCCTGCACAACCAGGCATGCCAGCCGGGCCTGGGGAATCTGGGCATTGCTCCTCTCCAGGCTTCCCTCCACCACAACTCAGCAAAGCAGCTCCATTTGGGGTGCTTCTTGGTACAGGAAGGAGCACTGTGGCAGGAGCTAAAGCCACTTGGCACCCTTATTGCCGCCACCCCCTCTGGTGCAGGATGTTCCTAACGAGTCTCTCCCAGGAAAGACCACAAGCGTGGTCCCTCTCCATAGGCAGTCTGACCTCTCAGCAGAGGGGGCAAGAGGACACAGCTTGCTCTCATGACCATGTGCCCTTTTCCAAGACTCTCCCCATTCATTCCCATTCTGGCTTGGATCACACATGATATTCCAGCCAGATTCATGGGGCCTCATTGGGCACGTGTTAGAGTCCCCATTAATAGGACCCTTTGCTGTGCCCACCACTCATCTATTTGAGAAACTTCATTGATGCCCCACTGTGTGTCAGGAACTCCTCCTAACTGTCCTCACTGCTCAGAGCCCTTCCCAAGATTAAGGGGTCAATTGCAAGGGACCGTGAGGCTCCCATTAAATCCCTCCCATGTCTTCCTGGTAGGCAGGCACACTCAGCAGCGGCCACAGTAATTTGCATAACTGAGCGGAGATAAAAATGACCTGTATCCAGGAAAGGGGGTGGGTGGCAGGTGGCAGCTGGCCAAGCACAGACCTGAAGCCAAGCTTTCATCATCCTGGGCTAAGCCATCCTGAGTGTGTGCCACCTGCCTGGTCTTCTAACTACACAGAAGGTCCTCCGGGATCTGGTTTTCCACTGGGACTGAACTCACTTGAGAAATTGCTAAGTGTGTGTGTTTTTTAATTCAGAATACATTTTTTCTTCCTTTGGATTTAGGTTACTGGGAGCCCAAATTAGCAAGATTAAACAATGGTGGATCATATAATGCATGGATGACAGAAAAAACTTCAGAATTTAACTCTAAACCTTGGATCCAGGTATGACATTAATCTGATAAGATATACTGCTATCTATATACATAAAAGCCTAATATGCAAATTGTCCCCTCCAGAGTTCAACTGGGAACCCGACAGTTCGATTGCTCATTATGACATATGCTGACCACAAGGGGGAGATGCAGAATGAAGGAAGGCCCTGGCCAACAGCCAGAAGGCCCCGATCGGCCCTGATTGGCCCTGATTGCCAGCCAGGTCTAGGGACCCTACCCGTGCACAAATTTCATTCACTGGGCCTTTAGTTGTAATAGTAAAAGTGACACTGATTTAATAACTTCTTCTTGTTGCTTCTTTGCAATTTTGTTAGGGGAAATAGCAATTACTAGGTGCCAGGTAATATTCTAAATAGATAACATCCTTAAAATGAACCCTCTGAGATTGGTTCTAATAATATCCCATCTTCCAGATGAAAAAACTGAGACACAGAGGGGTTAACTAACTTCTCAGCGTCAAGCACAGCTTGTTAGTGGTAGAGCTGGGACTCAGGTCCTCTGTGCTCCAATACAGACTGCATTTTATTAGTTTGCTAAGTAAAACCTGAGGTGCTGGCTCTTTAATTCTGAAGAAAGCTGGTTGGTTGCTCAATGAATTGCAGTGGCGTGTGACTTGTGGACAAGGACAGTTCTGTTCAGTGGCTTTGCTATGTTGCAGGTGGATATGCAAAGGGAAGTCATATTCACAGGCATCCAGTCCCAAGGTGCCAAACACTACCTGAAGTCCTACTTCACCACCGAGTTCTGCGTGGCCTACAGCTCCGACCAGACCAACTGGCACATTTTCAAAGGGAACAGCACAAGAAACGTGATGGTCAGTGTGCACGTCTCTTTCAGAGTCTCCAGACCCACCTGATGGTCTCTATGACTGTGACCATGACTCTTTGCTTTTGTAAAAATACTTTTCTAGGCATTGGAAACACGGAGGGCTTCCTAGGGCCTAATGAAGGAAAGTGGTAAAATGATGGGTCTGTACATTACAAATTAAAGGGATATGCCTGACTTCTGAAATTTCAAAACTCCACAAAACTTTTTAAAAATCATTTTATCGCCCTAACTGATTTGGCTCAGTGGATAAAGCGTCGGCCTGCGGACTGAAAGGTCCTGGGTTCGGTTCCAGCCAAGGGCATGTACCTTGGTTGTGGGCACATCCCCAGTAGGAGGTGTGCAAGAGGCTGCTGATCGATGTTTCTCTCTCATCGATGTTTCTAACTCTCTATCCCTCTCCCTTCCTCTCTGTAAAAAATCAATAAAATATTTTTTTAAAAAAATCACTTTATCATCAAACGAAATACCCGGACTTTTCAGATTGGCAGATGGTGTACGGCAGCGTAGAGCATCTATCTGGTCTGGTGCTTAAGGGGCTCATGTTAAAAATATGCCATCAAGAGTTCTGATGTTACTAATCTTTTTTCCAATTTTCTATATTCTCCATGACTAACTTTCTATATTATCACTTAGCTATTTCTAGGATAGATAAGCAAAATCCTAAATGATGGGTCTTACTAATCAGTATCAGAGAGAGAACATGGATTTCAGTGAGAGTCTCTAGCTTAAAGAATTTTACATCTAGATTCATGAGAGATATTGGTATGCAGTAGTTTTATTTTTTCGTACTATCTTTTCTGGTTTTGATATCAGAGTAATTCTATCTTCACAAGCTAAATTGGGAAGCGTGCTCTTTTTTCCTATTTTGTGGAGAAGATTGTCTAGAATTGGTTTTAGTTCCTTAACCATTTGGCAGAATTCACAAGTGAAACCATGTGGGCCTGGAGATTTCTCTTCCAGAAGTTTTAAGATTACACATTAAATTTCTTCAGCAGTTACGGGATTTTCAAATTATCTATTTTTTATTGGGTGAGTTGGAATAGTGTTTTTTCAATGAGTGGAATCATTTCCTCTAAGTTGCCAGATTCATGTCTGGAGCTGCTTGTCCGTCCCTTATCATCCTTCTGACGTCTGCAAGGTTAGCGGTGAGACTGCCTGCTCATGTCTGGTGCTGGTCATTTGCGTCTCTTCTCCTTCTGCTTTGTTGGTCTTTTTAGAGATTTGCCTTTTTTAACATCTTTTCAAAGAACTGGCTCTTTGCCTCATTACTCTTTCTACCGTATATCTCTTTTCTGTCTTACTTGGTTGCTTAGCCTGCGCCTACCTCTGTTTCAGCTGGATATCTCATGCTGCTCTGGCAGGGGAAGCGCATGGGGCACGGCCTCCTACTGTCAGGGCGTCCAGCCCAGGTTGCCCACCTGCCAGGGACTCCTCCTCTTTGCTGCTGGTGGGATGAGATGCTCTCCACAGACACTGCAGCGGTGGGAGCCTTGGTAGGAGCTGGCCAACACCTGGCCTTCTGACACACCCCAGTGAGGGCACAGAGGTGGCTCATCGCAGTTTCACGCCCATGGAGGTCAAGGCTCCGCCCTTGGCCTTCTCTGCTGTTGGATGAGGAGAGGCCATAGTTGTTTCTGTGGAGCTGAGCTTGCCGGAGAGCAATGATTGTCTAAAAGAGCTCTGTCGTGCTGGGCTGCCCTCTCTTGGTTCTGAGGCTAGAGAAGGCAGGGTTGTGCTGGGGCTGTTTCTGTCTGTGCTCATTGGTGTTTCCTGGTTGCTGGCTTCTTCTCTTCCAAGTCTGGGGTCTGTGGGGCCAAAAGGAAACCAGGAGCCCATGGCCATGTTGTTCCTAGGTCCTAGAACTCTAGCCAGTCTGCCTTCTCTTCCCCTTCCAGGGCGTTCTCATGGTTTTAGTTGTGCTTAACAGGAGGAATCGGGAAAAGTACATCTGTTCCATATTCCTGAAGTGGAAGCATCCTTCAATATGTTTTAAGACCATATTGATTTAGTTCTGGCCACATGAAAATTTAACATCATCATATTAAATTACACCAACATTCTACTATAAAGTCACTTTACAGAGAATTTTTGCATAACTAATCCTATCTCTTTTCCTCTAGTATTTTGATGGCAACTCCGACGCCTTTACAGTAAAAGAAAATCTGTTTGACCCACCGATTATGGCAAGATACATTAGGGTCTATCCAACCAGATTCTACCACAGGCCTGCCCTGCGCCTGGAGCTGCAAGGCTGTGAGATTAATGGTGAGGAACCAAGATGCGTGACTATCTTACCACCGCTCAGAGAGTCCAGGTCGGGAGGGGCGGGCGAGGGGGAAGGACTTTCAGTTCTCTTCAATCACGTAGACTCCTGAAGCAACGTTCTGGGAAGCAGAGGTTCCACTCAGGTAAACGCTCACGGTGACTCAGCGGGACACAGGTTCTCCCGGGCAGGGGGCGGGTGCCATCTCTGTGGGCAGCACCTGGATGACATGGTCTCCGCCCTGACCCCCAGGGAGGGTCCCAGCTGAGAATGACCTCCCTCAGCCCATTTCCCAGAGAACTGAGATTCAAACTAGGCCTGGCTCTTCCCAAGTCCTCGAGGACACTCATGTAATAACAGCATCTGGCCACATTCCCGGCATGCCTCAGTATCCAGTGAGTGGTTTTGCAATCTACCTCTGCTTCCCAACTTCCTGAAACCTTAACCAGGCTCTGTGTTGTTTCACACCCTATGTAGGTACCCAAGCCTCTTCTGTGTTAAGCTGCTATTTTTCAGGGGATGTAATGTGACCTCTGGTATAAATAGATGTAGGGGACCACATGTGGCCATAGTATAATTCTACGATGTAGGACAAAGATGTTTGAGAGTCATAATAACTATTCTCCCTCTCTGACTCTTCAAGTGGTGCTTTCCAAAAAGGTTTTACTGCAAAACACATACAGAAAGTAATACCTGCCTTGGGCCTGGGGTAATAGAATAAAGTAGCCGGCCCAGGGCTTGGCTGATCCGACCCATCCTGGCTACTCATGACTAAGGGGAGGGAGAGCCCACTATTTAAGCACCTGAAACTCGCCGTGGCAGCCTGCTGGGACGCCACAGCACCTTCTCTCGGGATGGAGGGAAGAGCCACGCTCATGGTGGAGAAGGTACCCCAACCTTGGAACCAGTTTCTTATCCGAGAAGGCAATGTTACATACACTCTTGATATTCATGAGGGATGAGGGATGGGCCTTGTGCCAGTGCCCAGGTAGCAGGGGCTTGTACCATCTCCAATGAAATACAGCTTTCCTACAGGCAGCCGCACTCCTTGGAGCAGCTCCATAAATCATTGTTTTCCTCCCGTGTGGTGTCTGATGTCAGCGGTAGTCTGATCAGCTCGTAGAGTCAAGCTGACTCCCTAAAATGGGACAGTCAGCTCTGTTCATCCACACGGTTGATTGTTGTGATGGCTGCTGTTGCTGGCACTCTGAGGAACAGTGTTCCTTCCCTCTTCTGCACACAAAGTGGGGTACAGGGAGCGCTGGTGGGGCGTACTAATCCCATTACTTTTCTCTCACCAGGATGCTCCACCCCACTGGGTGTGGAAAGTGGGAAGATAGAAGACGCGCAAATCACAGCTTCCTCCTTTAAAAAGTCCTGGTGGGGGGATTACTGGGAGCCCTCCCGTGCCCGCCTGAATGCCCAGGGCCGGGTGAATGCCTGGCAGGCCAAGGTGAATATCCCTGTTAACACAGTTCTCTCAGCTTCCAGGAGCCAACAAAGGAACATGGGGGGCCTGGGAAGCCAGACAGCACACCCTGTTTCTGCAGGCTGTGACCCTGGGCCTGAGGACTAGCATCCCTGTTGACCTGCAAGCTTTCGCTCTAACGCTGACTCACAGGGAAGTTATCATCATCTTTGCAGTTCTTTGTCGAATCTTAATTTAGCCAGGGATGGTCAAGGGCCAGGTAATAAATATTCTGGGCTTTGTGAGCCATACATTTCCTGTCAAAACGATTCATCTCTCATAGCAGGAAAGCAACCATAAACATTATCATGGCTGAGTTCCAATAAAACTTTATTTACAGAAACAGGTGGTAGGTCAGATATGGCCTTGGGCTGTAGTTTGCAAACCCTCTTTGAGACAACTTACATTAGCACTAAGTGATGTAGATTTCCAACATCTTCTCTTCCTTTCCCCCACCATGCCCCCATTTAGCAATATTTTTCATTTTCTTAGGAGTGCCATTAAAATTCTTTTGTTCCAATTTTTCTGAGAACTTGGTGACATTCCTTTAGACCAAGCATATCAAACTCAAAGCCACATGCCTCGCCGAAACCGGTTTGGCTCAGTGGATAGAGCGTTGGCCCGTGGACTGAAAGGTCCCAGGTTCGATTCCGGTCAAGGGCATGTACCTGGGTTGCGGGCACATCCCCAGTAGGAGATGTGCAGGAGGCAGCTGATTGATGTTTCTCTCTCATCGGTGTTTCTAACTCTCTATCTTTCTCCCTTCCTCTCTATAAAAAAACCAATAAAATTAAAAATTAAAAAAAAATAAAAAAGCCACATGCCTCGAGGCGTGCAGCCCACCAGCTGCAATTTGAAACGCTTGCTTTAGACAATTGGCCACATAGTAAAATGGGGCAAAACCAGGAAGTAAAACAGTGATCTAAGTTGGAGAAACAGCTTTTATATTGCCCCTGATATCACCCACAGAGTAAGTCAGGTGACAGTTTTAGGGTAACTTAATAGCTGACTCACTTTTATTGCACTCTTCAACTGACCTGAGACATCAGAATGACATCAGAAATGAGAACAATCCCATCAACCAATTTAATCCAAGTTCCCTGTTTTCTCTCCTCCTAACCCTCCCTTAAGGTGCCCACTGCAATTCCCTGGACTTGCTAGGGATTGCCACCTCCTGTCCTTAAATTAGGTCACTAGAGACGCGAGTGGAGTGACTAGAAGACCTTGGGCTCTGTACAGATAGTTTTGGGAACCAGTATCTATGTCTTGAAACTCATGTCTGGACCTTCAGAGGGTCACCAGAATGTTAGAACAGCAAGCATCTGATCTGGATTCTTCCTTTCAAATCTCAACACAAAGGAGATGAAATAAATACTTTTGTTTAGACTTCTTGTTCTCCTCAAAAATCCCGTTCTCCCCATAGGCAGCTCAGTGCTCCTTCCTCCAACCCAAACACCTCATTTTGCAATTCTGCAGAGGGGGGAATTGAGACCCAAAAAGATAAAATAATAAAGTTAATAATGTCACATTACATTTATGTAATTTTAAAAAATCATAAAAATAAGAGTAAAAGGTTAAGAAGAGAGAAAAAGAAAGGTGTTTCCCAGAAGACACTTTAGATTTGTTCATGGCGTAACCTTGTCCCCCACCCTCCATGGTCCAGCCTTTTAAAAAAACTTGCTCTGAATACAATATGCTCTTAGTCTTTGTGAAATAATAAAGGCTCCAAAGAGGAAATGCTAATTTTAATTTTTAATGCTGTCATTTTAAATCTGGAATTCTAGGTCACAATTATTTGTTTCGCTTAACCTATTAGCATGAAATGTGTTTATAGGGTCTCTTTAGAGAGGATGAAAATCTAAGCGAGACATATATAGACATGCATTCAGCTGGAAGGGTCTTTACCCCTTCTATACCTAAAAAGAAGTTATCCCTAGAAAACCCCTCTAGCTACCTATATTCTGCTTCACTAGTACCACCTTGGTTTGAAGACACTACAATACCACCAAATGCCACTAAAGGGTATAACAGAATTAATAAAAATCATCCAATCCAATACTTTTAATCCAATTAATTTTCTCTAAAGATATATGAGGTATATGACTATATACATGTACATGTGTATACATGTGTGTATACAGGCATGCACATATGAGTGATGTTAAGACAAATATATCAATATTCATTATTTCATTATTTCATATAGAACTGAATGAGACTATGGGGCTTGATAAATCTCTCAGCATTAAAAATTCATCTCAGATTATTCTAAAACTCAATCTGTCCTCTGATCCTCCTCCTCCACATGCATAGCACCAAGCATGTATCTAGGCATTTTATTTGGCCAGAGGCGGGACAATTACTGTGCATATCAAACCCTAGGTATAGCTTTATCAAGTCTCTCAGTGTATTTGAAATACCTGAAAAGAAGAAATTGGACTATGTCTCTTATTGGACATTAACAACGGAAAGGAAAGTGGGCTTTTCTAAAATAAAGACAGGATACTATTCCATTCTTTCCCAGGTAACCCTTCAGTAATCAGTAATATCATCATAGCATTTAAACCAACTTGCTTACCAGAATAACACTTAAATATAATTTATCGGTTGAATATTTTTCCCAAGTCAATTTAATTTACTTGTTTATTTAACAAATATTTGATGAGCACCAACTGTGTGCAATGCTCTGTGATAAGTGCATAGAAATGAAACTCATCGTCCCCTGTCCTCAGGGACAAAGGGACACAAAGATGGACCCAGATCATGATTGCATATGTGTGAACGACTCCAGAAGAAGTTAGAATACGCGTTGTAGCAACAAACAGAAGAGGGAAGGCTTCGAGGAGTCGTAAGGGATGAGACAGAAAAGAAACCCTTGGAGTGGCATTTCTGAATAACTTGGTCTAAAAAAAAAGCGAAGGTTCTGGCACCTGTCTTACCCATGCGTTCTCCTCATCTTCACAGGCGAACAACAACAAGCAGTGGTTACAAATCGACCTGCTCAAAATCAAGAAGATAACTGCGATTGTTACGCAGGGTTGCAAATCCCTCTCCTCTGAAATGTACGTGAAGAGCTTCGCAGTCCACTACAGTGACCAGGGAGTGGAATGGAAGCCTTACAGGCAGAAATCCTCCATGGTGGACAAGGTACAGGGTGGTATCCGGGCAAAAAGGAATTCGTTAGAAAACAGTGCTGTGATGAGAATGGTACCTTGCATTTGCAGATAGCTCTCTGCATTGGACAAATACATGCTGGCAGGTCCCCCCTCTAAACCCTAGCTCTGCAGGTAACTGGTCTTGGGACAGGGACCATGCACATTGCTTCCTGCTTTGACTGAGCCCCCTGTGAAGCAGTGAGAACAAAGCTCCAGGGTCTGATGAGAAACATCCTTACCTCTGATCGAGAGAGATGGAGCTTGGGCTGCTGTTGACTTAAACACTTATTTCCCACACTCCTGGAGGTTGGGTCCCAATCAGGGTGCGGGCCCTGTCAGGTTCTGGTAAGAGCCTCTTCCTGTTATGTCCTCACATGGCCTGCCTTGTTGAGTCCACGCAGAGAGAGCTCCCAGGTCTCCTCCCCCCTTCATTGTGTGTATTAATTCCATTTAATTTAATCCTAGTTACCTCCCAAAGGCCCCAACTCCTAATACTACCTCACTTATCCTATCTAATAAAAGAGAAACATGGTAATTGGCGTACGACCGCTACCCTTCCCATTGGCTAATCAGGGCGATATGCAAATTGACTGCCAACAAAGATGGCGGTTAATTTGCATACATAGGCGCAATGATGGGAGGCCATAGGGGAAGGAGGGTGATTGGAAACACAGGCGGCAGGCAAGAGCCAGGAGGCACTGCCCCTGGCTGAATCGGAGAACCGTCTGTCTTTGCCTGCCCCCCTGCCAGTGAACAGAGAAGCCAGAGCAGGACATGGAAGAGGCCGGTGCCCGCCTCTTCCCTGGCCGCCCCTCCCAGGGATGAGCAACCGGAGATCCCACAGCAGGAAAGGGGGGCCTGCAGCCAGCCCCCCTGTGTGCCTGCCCCTGGGTCACTGCAGCGATCAGGGAGCAGGAAAGAGCGGCCTCTAGCCAGCCCCCATGTGCGCCTGCCCCTGGGTCACCGGGGCAATCATGGAGCAGGAAAGAGCGGCCTCTAGCCAGCCCCCATGTGCGCCTGCCCCTGGGTCACCGGGGCAATCATGGAGCAGGAAAGCGGGGCCTCTAGCCAGCCCCACTGTGCGCCTGCCCCTGGGTCACCATGGCAATCATGGAGCAGGAAAGGGGGGCCTCTAGCCAGCCCCCCTGTGGCCTGCCCGTGGGATTGCAGCTGCGATCACGGAGCAGTAAATGGGGGCCTGCAGCCAGCCTCCGTGTGCACCTGCCCCTAGGTCGCTACAGCAATCATGGAGCAGGAAAGGGGGGCCTCTAGCCAGCCCCCCTGTGCACCTGCCCATGGGATCACACCGGAGATCATGGAGCAGGAAAGAGCGGCCTGCAGCCAGCCCTCCTGTGCGCCTGCCCATGGGATTGCCCTGGAGATCATGGACCAGGAAAGGGCAGCCTCTAGCCAGCCCCCATGTGCGCCTGCCCGTGGGATCACAGCAGCGATCACGGAGCAGGAAAGGGGGGCCTGCAGCCAGCCCCCGTGTGCACCTGCCCCTGGGTCGCTGCTGTGATCCCAGAGCAGGAAAGGGCGGCCTGCAGCCAGGCCCTGTGTGTGCCTGTCCCTAGGTCGCTCTGGCGATCCCACAGCAGGAAAGGGCGCCCCACCCTGGCCACAGCTCAAGGAAGAGTACAAAATGCAGTGGAGGCCAGGAGCCTGAGAGATCAACAGAGAGGAGCACCTCCCAGGTGTGGCTGGGGGCAGGCACCCAGCAGACACACACACACACACACACACACACACACACACAGAGGACGCCTGCACAGAGCCTCTGCTGCTAGACTGTGGCCATCAGCAGGACATCTACTGAGGGCTCCCAGACTGAGGGGCTGGCTTGGCTGAGGAAACCCCATCCCCCAGTGCACGAATTTCATGCACCGGGCCTCTAGTCTATAATAATAAAAGCATAATATGCTAATTAGACCAGATGTCCTTCCGGACCAAGCCAGGGCTGCAGCTGTCAAGGCTGCGAAGCCTACTCTTGCACGAATTTCATGCATCGGGCCTCTAGTTTTATATAAAGTATCAAAGTTTATATATGAATTTTGGGAGGACACAAACATGCAGTCCATAGAGGGGTCCAGAAACTCTACCACTGCATTAGCGTTGCCTTGAATATGCTTGTTGTTTATGACTGATCACACACCCATGGCCATAAGTAACCAGCCCCGGGGTTGGCTGTTTCTCTGATTTGGTTTGGTTTATTTCTCACTGTACCAGGATGTCCTCCTGGCAGGATAAGCATCATTGTGAGAAACAAACCGTGGGTTAGCTTCTGCTGTGTATGCATCATGGGGAACTTGCTGGGGATGCAAAAAAAAAACCCCAAAAAACAAAAACGGAGCAGGGACACAGTTTAACTGAAACTATAGGGTATATCCAAAAAGGAGGACTATAGACGCATGGCTGCATTTTATTTTAAATATTGGTAAGAGCTAACCATGTATTGGTGCCACTGACTGTCACCTACTAGGTACTTGTTATATGTTTACAGACTTTTGTTAATTCTTACAACTTCCATAAGGTAAGATTTTATTATCCCCATTTTGCCAATGAGGAATCGAGAATCAGAAAACTTAAGTAACTGGCTCCAAGCCACTCAGCGGCAAAAGGCCTGAGGGCAGAGCTGGGCTTGCAGCTGCCCATACACCGATCAAATGTTTTCTCTTCCCTTACTTCAACTCAGATCACTGGTGAGGCGAAATTCCTAATGAGGTCTGTCTGGATTGGGATTTCACTGAGGGTCATCTCTGTGTTAATGTTGTCTGTGTTCCTGGATGCCTTCGGTTTGAGCAAAAATAATTATAAAATTAACTGTAAGATTTGTGTACTCATTATACTACCATTAAGGATTTTCTCATCTTTTGCTTTCAGATTTTTGAAGGAAATAGTAATACCAAAGGGCATGTGAAGAACTTTTTCAACCCTCCAATCATTTCCAGGTTTATCCGTATCATCCCGAAAACATGGAATCAAAGTATTGCCCTTCGCCTGGAGCTCTTCGGCTGTGATATTTACTAGAATTGAATATTCAGAGAGACAGGAAGGACTCTTAAATGTATCAAGCCACTTTGAGTGGACAATGTATTTTATAGTTATGTTAAATTCTCTATTAGAGAATAAAATTTTATATGTGAAATTTTTATAATGTAACTCCTGGCTACCATTAATTGAGATGATAGCTGGTATTTTTGCATTAATTTGAATGTAAATGGGAAAATAACAAGAACCAACAAGAAAATGGCTTATCTTTCACAATGATTAAATTTGCTCTATAAAGTAATACTCTATTCAAGTAGTTAACATGCTTCACCATAGTTCTTTTAAACCCTGCACATATTAATAAAAGAGATATTAATGTTTAAAACCATACCTGGGTAGCTGTCACTCCTACATTTTTCTTTAAAAAACATACACTATGGCCCACCTGGCATGGCTCAGTTGTTGAACATGGACCTATGAACCAGGAAGTCATGGCTCGATTCCCCATCATGCCTGGGTTGTGGGCTTGACCCCCAGTGTGGGGCATGCAGGAGGCAGCCAATCAATGATTCTCTCTCATCATTGATGTTTCTATCTCTCCCTCCCTCTCCATTCTTCTCTAAAATCAATAAAAATATATTTTAAAACACAGACACACACTGATTTAAGAGTAAAGGAAACAAATGAGGATTTTTAATGTTGACTTTTGGGCAGTGGAGAGAAAAGCAACCTTACCGTGTGAACGAAGAAAGCCTCAATTGCCCTGTCGTACCCACAGGACAGAGGTTGTTCTGACCCCCACGAGGAAAACGCAAGGAAGCATCTTCTCAGCAGCCCGTTGGCCTATGAACTGACCTGCTCTCCCTTGAGCTGATGGCACAATGCGGATGCTCGGCATTAGGGGTCATTAAACATAGAACTCGGAACTCTGGCTTCATTCCAGCTGACATTACGTGGCACTGTTTCAAACATAGGCTCACCTAAGGGACAGCTGGTACCCACTGGCCCAGTGCAGCGATGCCAGTCAGTCAGGGGCTCCTGGCCAACTTAATGCTCTGGGGTTGCTCTCTTGAAGTTCTTAATAGTTTTTTAACAATGAGTCCGACATTTGCAATTTGCAAGAGGTCTCCTCTACTGTAGAAATGGGCGGGATCTCTTCTTATCTACCGAGGTATAATAGAGGCAAGGAAATCAGGCCGAGTAGCAGTAAGGGGAGAGACGAGAATGGAGCAGAGATCCAGCCTCATTACCCACTGCATGAAGAGAAAGGGCCACGACGTTTTTAACCATCTGCCTGGGGCCATGGCTAGTTCGAGTCAGAGGTGAAACTGGAAACAAGATGAGCAGACTCCCAGCCTCTCCTTCAGTCTGGTTTCTGTTCCATAAAATGGAAATGATCATGATAATGATTATGATTCATCCTCCCCAGACAGGTTGACATGAATATGAATATGAATTATTAATTGATATGAAAATCACTTTGGAGATCGATAAAATGTTTGGGTTACATCTGATCTGTGTAGAAATGTTAAAACCGCTTTTATTTTGAAATAAAACCACGTATTTTTATTCCTCTCTTTGAAGTCATATAGATGAAATTACAACTTGTGCTGTATCCTCCACTGACAGAACATACTCCACTCTTTGTTATGTAATAACTGGTTGCTATGGGAAAGAAATTAATGACTCACAGTGGCCTCACGACTTGGAAAAAGAGACAAACAGATACGACCCGAGCCTTATTCGTCACTGGAAATGAGGAGTCAGGAAAGAGAGGCTTTGAGCGGATCATAGATACACAGGGTCAGAGGAAACACGGCATTAGTTCTCCGGGATTTCTTCAAGTTGTTAAGAGTAATTACAAACTTGGTGACACTTTTTAGGATAACTGAATAATCACTATCTTTTGAGTTCAGAACCATTTGGGCAAACTCAAGAAAGCACTATGGTGGGCACTGTGGGGGAGAAAATAAAACAAAAATACAACACACCACTCTGGCTCTTCAAACACGTGTTACCTAGTTGGCTGGATAGAGAATACAAGCTTAGGAAGCGAACACAGACTGTAGGAAGACTACTCCCTGAGGAGTCAGTGGTAAAAAGTCAATCAAAGGAGTAACCCCGGGAGGATGGAGTCAGCTTGTGGAAACTCTTGGAAAAGGTGCTTTGACCCAGACCTTGAACACATTGGGCATATATTAAGGTGATCTTGGCAGAACCCCAAAGAACGGACTGGGATAAAGGTCAATGAAGACCAGAGAAGTAGAAGAGCTTTATACTTAGAGTCAGGTCCCTGTAAGCTTTCCTGGACATACCTACCCCTACTCCCGACTCCCTTGGTCCACATTCTGACACTGTGGAGGGGGTACCCACCTATATGCCTCCACCTCCCATCCCCACACCATGCCCTAAGTCCAGTCTGTTTGCAAAGTCAAAAGAAATAAAAACAACAGGTACCTAGAAGGACCCGGGGATCTGACGGTGAGGTGAGAGAAACATACAGATACAGAACGTGTCCCTAATCTGCAAACTGTGAATGACAGACGGTGGAGACCAGGCTGAAAGGGAGAAATGTTGATAATGTGATGGATGCACGCTGGCTCGCTCAGGTTGAGAGGACCGGACACACTGCTCAGAGGGAATGGAGCAGGGAGAAAGCGGGTAAAAGTGTGTCCCATGTGGGAAACTGGCTAACTGAGATAAGAGACACTCACACAGGTATGTCTGGACAATGACAAGACGTTAGAGTGCTGATGTGATCGTTCTATTTTGTTGTGTTTTCCCACTCGCTCACATCTGAGCCACCTCAAATTCATCTGCACGTTCATATTTTACATTAAGGAGCAGCTTCTCAATGTCTCAAGAATGATGTACGGATACTTTCGTACATTCACCTGCTTTTTTTGGCAAGAAATTTGGTAACGGGTTTACCTGTTCTATTGATCTCAACTGCCTTCTAGCAGCTGTTCCTCCTTGTTGACTGAGAGGCTTTCGGGAAGTCTGGAATCTGGCAATGATTCCACAGATGTGACAGATGGTATAAAACTTTCATTTTCTGAGGAGACAGTGACAAAAGCTACATTTCTATGTGGTGCTTAGAATAGTCCTTGGCACGGAGTAAGTGCTATATAGGCACTGATTATTACTAATGTTAACATGATTAATAACAACAATGGTATAAATAGGCATACTATAAAATCAATATAACCGCATTCATTATTATGAACAATTGTTACTCATTTCTGCTGAATTCAACACCTTGTTTTACACCACTCATAGTTTTTTAAATTGTGGTAAAATATAACAAAAATGGCTGAAATGGCAAGTTTTACCAGTGTACAGCTCGGTGGTGTTAGGCACATTGACACTTCTGTGTAATCATCATTAATTTTTTTAGATACTTGTATTGATTTCAGAGAGGAAGGACGAGGGAGAGAGAGATAGAAACATCAATGATGAGAGAGAATCACTGATTGGCTGCCTCCTGCACGCCCCTTACTGGGGATCGAGCCCACAACCCAGGCATGTGCCCTTGACTGGAATCGAACCCAGGACCCTTCAGTCCGCAGGCCGATGCTCTGTCCACTGAGCCGAACTGGCTGGGGCCATCATCACTGCTTTTTATAGCCGCTCTATTTTCTGCCTGTAACTCCATGCTTTTCCCTCTAGGGGGAGAGTGTGATTGAACTGCACACCCAGCCAGCGTCAGAGCCTTTCACACTGAGGTCAGGCTTTAATTATCCAGGCTAAACCAAGAATTGCACAGTTGCATTGACTTTCTTCAGTGGGTTTAACTGACCTAATTATGTTTTCTCTGAGGTAGAGGCTAGAAATTTTTAAACAGTAGATGCAGACATTAACATTACACCCTGAGTCCACAGTCTTAGAATGTGATCCAGAAATTATTGTAAATTATCCACAGACAAATTGGATAATGTAAAACAGTATTAGGTAGAAATTTACTCAACGAGAAAATTTAATTGTTTTCCAATTGGTTTAAGGAGGCTTAAAACAGGGAGAAGTAGGCCCAGCCTATATGGCTCAGTGGTTGAGCATCAACCTATGAACCAGATAGGAGGTCATGGTTCGATTGCTGGTCAGGGCACATTCCCAGGTTGCAGGCTCCATCTCCAGTGTAGGCCTGTAGGAGGCAGCTGATCAAGGATTCTCTCTCATCACTGATGTTTTCTATCTCGCTCTAGCTCTCCCTCTTCCCTTCCTC